CCAGCAGCTGTCTCTTGCACCTCTCAGAGTGCTCGGGTCGGCTAGCGTTCGAACCCGAAGGCGCTGAGGACGTCACACAGAGGGCATCCCAGAGCCTGAGCGCACTCAGCCACGACCTGGTGTCCGTCTCGTCGTGGCGCTCGAGGATGGACTTGGAGCAGTCCACCAGTCGCTTCTGCTTCAGCACAACTCCCTTCTCCATGCCGATGTACATCCTCCTGTCCGAGAGCGGTATCTCGAACACCTGCACCAGGTACTTCTCGGCGGCCTTGAACCACATCGCTGCGGCATCCTCCACTGAGTCGAAGGGGGCATCCAGCTGCCACTCCGCCAGCACCTGCACTGAGGGAGGCGCGTCCACCTGGGTGAGGTCCACCACTTTGGCTTCATTGGTCTTCTCCCTGGCTTTCCGCTTCGCCTCCTGCTCCACCAATGGGAAGGCCCTCGGCGGTGTCTCCACCCAGACGAAGGGCTCATCTCTCAAGCCGTCAAGCTTGATCTCCACATAGCAATGAGGCGAGATGGGCGCGTCAACTCTCGGAGGAGGAGGAGGAGGAGGAGGAGGAGGAGGAGGCGGAGGAGGAGGAGGAGGACCCCCCTCCCCCTCCAACTCACGGTGGTGGTGGAGGTGGACAGCAGGCCCACGGCGTCGCGAGCCGCTCCAGCCCAGAGCCTCTCGCCACAGCTCGGACGTCCCTTCCCCGTGCCTTTGTCGACGTCGTGCCCGCATTGGTCACGAGACGATCCAAGGTGCTCCCCGCCGAAGAAAAACATGCACACGTCCGAGCGATGTCAAGGCCCTGGCCATCCGCCATCCCCTCTGCCTGGTGCATCAGCGGAGGGGCGCCCGCGATGGCGACCACTGGCAGCGGCTGCCATCACCACGGCCACTGCCGCCGCGTGGCCTGCGGGCCGATCCGACCAGCAGCAGCAGCGGCGGCAGGAGCGGGAGCAGCGCGAGGAGCGGCAGGACGGGCAGGGTCACATGTTTGGTCTGCGGCGGTGGGGCGATCGCAGCGCGGTCGAAGCCGCAACCGGGCTGCGGAAGCGCGAATCGGTGAGCACAAGCCTCTTCCGTCCGCGCCAGGCCACGGCTGCTGCCGCCCCCCCCTCGCTCGACCCGCTGGGTCCCCGTCGCGGCCGCTGCCCGCCTTGCCGCCGCCACTGCCCCGTGAGGACTCGCATCATCTTCCTCCTCCTGCTCCTGCTCCTCCTCCTCCTCCTCCTCCTCCTCCTCCTCCTCCTCCTCCTCCTCCTCCTCCATCCTCCATCCTCCATCCTCCATCCTCCTCCTCCCCCTCCTCCTCCTCCTCCTGCTCCTCCTCCTGCTTTTTCTCCTGCTCCTCCTGTTCCTCCTGTTCCTCCTCTCCTCCTCCTCCTCCTCCTCCTCCTCCTCCTCCTCCTCCTCCTCCTCCCCAATCGTCCTTCTCCTCCTTCGCCATCCTCCACCATCCTCTTCCTCCCCCACACTCCCCCACACTCCTCCTCCTGCTCCTCCTGCTCCTCCTGCTCCTGCTCCTGCTCCTGCTCCTGCTCCTGCTCCTGCTCCTGCTCCTCCTCCTCCTCCTCCTCCTCCTCCTCCTCCTTCCTTCCCCGACTTTCTCCCCGAGCCTCGCTCGTGCGCGCAGCGGATGCCAAAAGGAAGGCTCTCTGGGTGCCGCTTTCTGCCGTCTGCGAGTCCTGCTCGCCTTTCTCCAAAGAGGAGCGCGGAGGAGGAGGAGGAGGAGGAGGAGGAGGAGGAGGAGGAGGAGGAGGAGCAGGAGGAGCAGGAGGAGGAGGAGGAGGAGGAGGACGACGAGGAGGAGGATGAGGAGGAAGAGGAGGATCTGGAGGAGGAGGAGGGGGAGGAGGAGGAAGAGGAACATAAGGAGGAGAAGGAGGAGGAGGAGGAGGAGGAGGAGGAGGAGGAGGAGGAGGAGCGAGGAGGAATAGCGAGGAGGAGCGCAGAGGAGGAGCAGAAGGAGCAGGAGGAGGAGGAACAGGACGATTGGGACCTTTTGGACCTTTTGCACAGCACAGCGTGCTAAAAAAAAAGGAGGAGGGGAAAACAGAGGGAGGAGGCCAAGCACCTGCACCCAAGGTGGCTACTCCGTAGCAGCCACCCCCAGCGCCTCCTCCTCCCCGCAAGGGGAGGAGGGCGCGTGGGAGGGTACAGGGCTTGCCCTCCTGGCACGCTGTGCTGTCTCCCCGGCGACGCACGCGTCCACTAACCTCGCATGCGAAATCGCTTGCGAGGCCTTAGAAGGCCCCGCATAGCTCGGAAACAGCCCGCGTTTAATTCGGCCGAGATTCTCTCGGCCTTTGCGAGTGGGGGGCCCGCAACCTTCGGCCAACTGGCGACCGTCAACGGTCGCGGTCCGACCACATCTGAAACAAAAATGCAAGGAATGCAAGTCCCAGAATCCCAGACGGTGGGAGGGGTCGAGCTCCAGCCCACCAACAGCGACGCCACAACGAGCCGCGACCACCACGTCCCGAGGGAAACCAGGAGGGACGACCAGCGGCGAAAAGCACTCCGTCTTCAGGACCTCTAAGAGGCCCTGTCGGGACGAAAGAACAGAGCACAGATGGCACCTGAAACGGGACCCGACTGGAATAAATCTGTGAGAGCTGGCCCTGGCCGCGTGCTCGAGGCGTCGGGTCTCGGCGGTCTTCGGCTTAGGCCGCTCGATCTCCGTCGGGGCCTTGGCACGCTTGGGGTCCGCCGAAGAGGCGTCCGCCAAAGCCCGCCGAGCCCTTCGACGCACCAGGGCAGCGGTGAGGTCCCAGGCGTCAGTGGCGGGGACAACCTGGGCGGCCAAAGTCCAGGATCGTTCAGCGGCTTCAGAAGCCGCTTCGTCGGCTAACTGATTACCACTGGCAAGAAAAACTTCGTGATGGGAGAGAGAGGAGTCGTCGGGGGACAGGTGCGAGGGCGTCCATTCGACCGAGACGTGCCCTGGGCCTCGGTCGTCGATGGCGCAGCGAATTCGCAGCCACAAATCGCTGTTCCTCCCCCCCAAGCTCCAAGGTCGGCCCCGACTCCACCCCGTCATGAGAGGCTTGTGGTCCGTCACAAAATGGACAGGACCAGTAGTGCTTTCCAGAAAAAGAGCGAAAGCCTGTAGCTCCGACCTGGGCACCGTTTGCGAGGGGCCTCGCAAAATCTCGGAGATGCCCCCCAAGACGGCCCAACGCAAAGGTCCCTCCCCAGGTCTCGCGTCCCTGACCACAACTACAGCGGAGCCACAACGACGGCGACGAGGGTCGGACGAAAAACGTCCTCCAGATCCGTCCCCGAAGCCGACCAACGGGCTGCTGCCAGGGTCTCTAGAGCAGGCTCCAAGAGGGACCTCACCAAGTTGGGCTCTGCTTAGGCTCTCCAACGGCTCCCTGAAAACAGGGTGGGTGACACGGGTAGGCGGAACACCTCTCAGCCAAAGGCTTGGTTCAGATTCAACAGACGCTAACGCTTGCGGAATCAAATGATCAGTAGACGTGAAATCACTGTGATCTTTATTGCAGGGGCAATGCCAGATGCGATGCGCAAGAGTTTCTTCCTCCTGCTGGCATCGCGGACACAGGCGGTCAGCGACCTCACTCAGAGGGTGCTGCCTGTCCATCGTCCACTGGGCGCCCGTGACCACGCACAAGTTGAGGCCGAACAGGTCGAGCTCCCCCTTCTTGGCGAAGTGGCTGAGCTCCAGCCTGGCCCAATAGAGGTCCGCTCCCTCAGCCAGGCCATCACCTGCCATGTGCTTCGACGCATTGCTCCAAAGCTGAGCGCGAAAATCAGTGACCACGTCGTCCAGCAGCTCGGAGATGTCGAACCCAGTGGGGTCGTAGCCTGCACGTCGTGCTGTTGGGATCAGCCACTCCTCGATTCCTCCGACAGTGGGCCTCCTCCAACGTAGAACTGAGGGTACTTCCCATCCCGCGTCTAGCAAAGTCGCAATAACAGCTCCAATCGGTCCTTTGACCAGTCTCCATCTTTTGTTGGCGCCAACTGCGAGAAGCCGCCGATGAATAACAGTCCAAGCATTTTCAACTCGATGGTGAATGCTGGTGTCGGTCTTCCAGAGACAGAGAAATTCTGAAAGAAGGCCTCGTCGTAACTCCAGGGCTGGATCCTTGAGACCGTAAAGGACCGCCAGTGATGTCGTAAGACACCTGCCCTTCATGGGCCCAGCTCCAGCCAAGGCTGCCTGCCGCCTGACGGCGAGGACGTTGGACGGTGACATGCCATGGGCCTGGTGCCCGTAGGAGCCTTGAGGAGCTGCGCCTGTGGTCCAAAGACCCTGAGCTTCACGCCGTAGAGGAGCATGTCTGCGTATGCGGGCAATGCGAGCCGCCCTCTTCCTGCTGGCAACCAACCTCATTCTGGCCTTAGCGACTGTGCGCCGTTTGCCAGAGGCTGCGTCGATGCCGAGATCCGTGCCGTGAAGACCGAACCGTACAGGGATACCCCGCTTCTGCAATTGAGCGGCTGTCCTCCTCCCGTCCTGCGGAACGGTGGCAATGAGCACAGACTTGTCCGAAAGCTTGAGACGGAATTGCTTGGCGAGGTCGGCCAGCGTGACCGTAGCGTGAAGGATCTCTGTCTGGACCTTGGCCTGCGTGCCCTCTGCGCGGGCCACAGTGTCATCGATGAAGGTCCAGAAGGTGCTGAAACTCGCTCTGCGATGTGCCGCCTCCATCAATGGATGTAAAAACAACTTGGCAATCCTTACCCCATGCGGGGATCCTGCAACAAGTGACCTGGTGGCGTAGATGGCGTCTGTAACGCCAAGAGAGCCACGCAGGAACCGCGGCCCAGCGCACATCTCCAACTCCAGTAACACCACAATCGCTGGGAACTTGAGGTCGAGTGCAGCCTGGCCGATGAGAAAGTGATGATGATGATGATGATGCGGAGGAGGAGGACCCTGAACATCAAGGGCGAGGCCGCCTTCGAGCCCTTCGCCACCTTTGGCGTCGAAGCCCAGTGGCAGCGGCGATCGCGCGGCGTATAAGGCGCAGGCCTGGGCGTGCTTCTGCACGCCGACGAGGTTGGCCTGGACACGGTCGATGCCGACGTCGCGGCCGCCGTCGTGGTCGCTGTCGTTGTCGCCATCGTTTGCGTTCTCGTTGCCCCCGTCGTCGTCGTCGCCGAAGTCGTCGTCGTCGTCGTCGTCGTCGTCACCACTATCGTTTTTAATTTAGCTTCAATTGTTTTTGTCGTCGCCGTCGTCGTTGTCGTCTTCATCGGCGTCGTTTTCGTAGTCGTTTTCGTAGTAGACGCTTCCGTTGTCGTCGACGTCGTCGTCCGTCGTCGTGTTTGTAGAGGTCGCCTTCCTCGTGCTCGTCGTCGGGTTGAAACCTTGTATCTTCGTCGTCGTCGGCGGCTTCGGCATCGTGGTCGCCGTCGCAGCCGATTCATCGCCGGGGCCACTTCACTCGTCACCTGACCGTCTCCAGGGAAGACACCGACTGCAACACCGAGACGGACGCCCAACATGCGGCAACGGCGTGATGCGTCCTGCATGACCGCGTGATGTCTCTCTCCACCAGCGTCGCCCTCTCCAGACTTCTTGCTCCAGCTTCTGGCCCATGATGTCAAACTTCCAACTTACGCACGCCATGCTCGGCACCAAGAACCCACCACGACATACAAGGGCACATTTTGCGGTATGCGCATGCACGACAAAAAGCAGATGATGCTGGCGACGACTGTTGTTTTGAATAGGCTTGCCCTGTAGGAGTTCTAGCTCATTAAAAGTAATTGGTCTTTAGCTCCCCCCCTTTTTCCAACGGCCCCCCCGCTCATTTCCAATGGTGGCACCCCCTCCCCCTTTTTTCCAATGGCACCCCCCTTATTTTGAATGGCATCCCCTAGCTATTTCCAATGGCGAGTCCTATGCTTGCTCTTGCTTGCTTGCACTTGATATCCTGCTCCCGTCCTCCTTTCGTCCTCCTCCCATCCTCCTCTCGTCCTCCTCCTGTCCTCCTATCTATTTGGAATCAATGCTGGCGGATGTTGTCAACGCCTCTGAGTTTGGTTTCCGCTCAACGTCCGCTGCGGTTGCGTTGCAGCTAGCTGTGCTAGCAATCACAGTGGGGGCCGTGGTCGTGACCACAACTGGAGTGGCCAAAACGGAAGCCGTCATCGTAAGGGCCGCAGTAGTACAGAAGAAGATAGCAACACCACGAGCATACACTCTTGGCGCTCCGCGCGGATTTCTTGGATCTGCGCTGGACTCCCCTCCCTGGCGCGCAGAGCATGCAAGGGGCGGAGCCGGAGGCGCCGCCAGGGGGCCCCAGCGCAGATCCAAGAGATCTGCTCGGACCGCCAACCATTTATGCTTATGGCGTTTTACTCTTCGATAACCACCGACTCGTCACCCGCGCCAGCGGCAGCCACAACAATGTCAGGCTGCTCCTCGATCGCGGCAGAGCTCCGGCAACCGTTTTGGACGGCCGAAATGGGTACGGAAAAAATGAGTACAATGCCCAACAACAAATGTTGCCCCAAACCAACAGCGGCCGCTGTTGGGCAGGCGGCCTTCTGTCTCAAATGGACACAAGCCGCGGCGGCGTGAACAGCGAATCCTGTTCAAAATGAACCAGAACTGCTGTTGGGCATTGTACCCATTCTTTCCGTACCCATTTCGGGCGTCCAAAACCGTGGTGGCGACGGCGGTGGCAGCGCTCCTGCCGGCGACCTTCGCCTGGAAGCTTGCCCCCACAGAGGCTGTGCCCGTGCCTGAGCGGGCCCACGTGGCATCTCTGGAACTATGGGTGGGTGTGTTCGTGGCTAGCGAGGAGGAGGAGGAGGAGGAGGAGGAGGAGGAGGAGGAGGAGGAGGAGGAGGAGGAGGAGGAGCAGGAGAGGGAGGAGGAAGAGGGGAGGAGTTATTTGAGGAGGCAGCCTCTCGATGGGCTTCTTGGGGATACTTTGGAGCACCCAGGGCGAAGTCCGCGACGGCAAAGGCGGCGGGCACGGACAGGGCAGCACCCAAGCACGTCTTCTTGGCGGTCTGGAGCACACGACGGGAGACCCGAGGTCAGATGCGGCCGCGTCAACTGGAAGAACTTCGTCCGCGGCGTGCTCGACATTGGGGGGACGAAGCGTGGCATGACCATAAAAACTCGGAGGTCCGCGCGGATTTCTCGGATCCGCGCTGGACCCCTCCTCCCTGGCGCGCGGAGCGCGCCAGGGGCGGCGCCAGAAGCGCCGCCAGGGGGGTCCAGCGCGGAGTCGAGAAATCCGCGCGGACCTCTGAGCTTTTAAGTTTATGCCTTTCATCGTTCCCCTAATCATCCACGGCAGTTGTAGGCTGAGGCGTTGCCATCTCAACAACGGAGCTTGCCGTCGTGGAAGCACTCGTGGGCGTCCCCGTGGTGGTGGAGCTAATGGTGATCTCTGTGGTGACACTTCATGCGCTTGCCGCGGTGGTATCGGTAGTGTCCACCGCTCCATGCCCGCTCCACATGTGCAGACGTTGTTCGCACTCAATTCCAAGATGTCGCATGCCAGTGTTGGTGGTGGAGCAGGCGTTGGCGGTGGCGCGGGTGTGGGTGATGCCGGTGGTGGTGGTGGAACAGGCGACGGTAGCGGAGCGTGTGTGGGTGATGCCATTGCTGATTGTGGAATAGGCGTCGGCGGTGTAGCGGGTGTCGGTGATGCCTGATCACACCCCTTGCAATACCAACTCCATTCCATGGATCCCCACCAATCGCACGGAGAGTCCATGCACCCATCGATTTTGAACTCGATACAGCACGCGAAGCTCAACCGATTCCAAACAAAGCTGTTGCACAGAACACTTGGCATCCAGCGAGATCGTCATGGCACTGTCGGTCTGCGAGCTCAAGGCACGCACCAACGCATGGCCTCAAACCAACACAATCCATTGACCAGCTCAATGCAAAAACCGGTGCTGGTGGTGGAGCAGGCGTCGGCGGTGGAGCGGGCGTCGGCGGTGCCAGTGTTGGCGGTGGAGCAGGCGTCGGCGGTGGCGCGGGCGTCGGTGGTGACGAAGCAGGAGGCGTGTGGTGACGCAGCTCTTGGAGGCACAAAGGACTGCATAAACATGCACTTTCCGAAGTTGGCGCGGATTTCTTGGATCGGCGCTAAACACACCTCCCTGGCGCGCGGAGGGCGGCGCCCGAGGCGCCGCCAGGGGTGCCCAGCGCCGATCCAAGAAATCCGCTCGGAGCTCCGAACGTCTATGTTCTATGTCTATGCCGTTGTCTCGTCTTTGAGCTGTAGTCGCAGGGCGCGTCGTGGTAGACCAGTGGTGCCCCATCCGGGGCTCGAGGGTCGGGGGCGAGATCCACTCGACGGGCCCGAGGTCGGAGCCCAGGCTCTCCAGCAGCAGGCCGCCGCCGCGGCGGTTACCACATGCTCTGCGCCCGCATCCTCAGCGCCACGCTGCCCAGGCATGCGACGTCCCGATTTTGTCAGGGCGGCGCCCCGAGAAGTCCCGACCCGGTCCTGGCTTCTCATTCTGAATCGGTTGTTGACAGTCCTGGGGTCCCGCGAGGGCCCCCCGGGGGCCGAAGATAGCGGAAAACCTCCCGCCCTGGTTTTTGTTACGACGCGATCGTGTCTGGGTTCCCACGGCCGCGCAGGGCGGCAGCGTCAGCACTGTCTCTTCCATGCAGCCGCCGAGCTGGCTGGGGTGGTACGGCTCCGGGTTGCGCACAGACCCCATTCGAGGGCCACTGGCGTCATTCACCCTCACACGCCCACGCCTGGGCCGTCGCCGCGCCAGCGCCGCGCGAACCTGCCGCAGCCCAGGGCACCAAACAGTGACACAGGGCTGGATCTAATCGTTGTTTCTCGTTTTGCTTTCGTTTTGTCGTTCGTATTGCTCTACCTGTTCTCCTGTACCTCCTCCCTATCGAAGCGGAAAACAGAACGCAGCCGAAGTCCAGCAAGACAGCGTTTAGGTCCAGCCCTGCAGTGACAGAAGCATAAAAACTCGGAGGTCCGCGCGGAGTTCTCGGATCGGTGCTGGACCCCCCCCCCTCCCTGGCGCGCGGAGCGCGCCAAGGGCGGTGCCCGAGGCGCCGCCAGGGGGCCCCAGCGCCGATCCGAGGAACCCGCGCGGACCTCATTGTTCATGCCTTTGCCAGAGTTTCATGCTTGTATTCGAATTCTTCTTTTCATGTCTGAAGGGGCCCTGGGACACACACAAATAAATACACACAAAAAAAGATGCCCCATATGTTCCCATATTTTATGGGTTTCTGTCTTCCCCCCACATTTCCCATATTTTCCCAGATTTTCCTGGGAGTCGACGATTCATTGTGTCTGTGTGCTTCCTCCCCTCCTGAATGTCATCGTTAGTTCCCCTAGGCGTGAACCTGCCGTAAGCCGGCGCGGCCTGCCAGTTGCGCGCTGCGCCGGTCGGCATGCAGCCGCCCCCGCCTCCTCCCGGGAGAGCCCCCCTCCTCCTCCTCCTCCTCCTCCTCCTCCTCCTCCTCCTCCTCCTCCTCCTCCTCTTCCTCCTCCTCTTCGTCCTCCTCCTCCTCCTCCTCCTCCTCCTCCTCCTCCTCCTCCTCCTCCTCCTCCCTCCTCCTCCTCCGCCTCCCCCTCCGCCTCGCCTCCTCCTCCTCCTCCTCCTCCTCCTCCTCCTCCTCCTCCTCCTCCTCCTCCTCTCTCCTCCTCCTCCTCCCCCTCCTCCCCCTCCTCCTCCTCCCCCTCTCCCTCCTCCCCCTCCCCCTCCCAGAGAGGCGCGGCTGGCAAGCGGCAGGAGGAGGCCCCCGCGAGGTGCGAGCTCGAGCTTCCGAGGCGACAGCGGGCAAGGAGCCGCGCGCAGGGGCGCCGTGGGCAGCAAGACCACGACATTGGACGCCACGGTCCCAGGCATGCGACGTCCTGATTTTGTCAGGACGGCGTCCCCAGAAGTCCCGACCCTTTCCCCGGGGCCGGTTTTTCATGCTGCGTCGTTTTGTTGACGGCCCCGAGGCCCATCGAGGGCCCCCAGGGGCCGAGAACCGCGAAAACCGCCCGTCCTAATGTTTTTCCGACGCGATCATGTCTGGGGTCGGAACCTTTTGCTTAGCGT